AGGGTGCCTGAAGACCAGGACAGGTGCAGGCTAGATTGGGTTTCCAGAGGCTATATATATAGAGAGAGAGGCTGCCAGAAGCCCTGGGGCCAGCCACTCCCCGAGGGTTCAACGCTAAGGGGCCCCACCAGACCTGCATTCCTGCCCAGGGCCAGCTCTCCATTTATAGCCCCAGGCAGGCAGGCAAGGGAGCTGAAGGGGGTGGAATGGACAGGGTGGAGGGAGAAAAGCCTAGGGAGCCCTCCCTTCCCATCTGCTGCCAAAGGAACTCCTCGTTGTGGAGACCAGAGAACCGAGGGCCAGAGTGAGGTGTGCACTTGCCCACCAGTCTGCTCAGCCCTGAGTCGGAAGGGGAGGTGCTGGGGGATGCCCCTTCCTGGAGGTCCCTTGGCCCATCGCCCCTGGCTTCTCCCAGAACAGGTCCGGCACTTGTGTCCCCTTGACTAGACTCTACACCTATGAGTTTGGACGCTTTCTGCTTCCAAATTTGTCCTTTTCCCCCTCCCTGGCCCCAACCCAGCACTAGGACTGAAAAAGGGCACCAGCTCCCAGGGCAGACACATTTCTCCCTGCTCTTTCAGCAACGGGGATGGAATGGTGGTGTTGGCAAACTTGTCCCCGACGATATGGTGTCACCACAAGGAGAGTGACCCTGGTCAGGCATGGGTCCCCGCCTGGAAGGCCTGTAACAGCCACTGAGTCCAGTGATTCCCAAACTCTTCAAGCCGCAGAAGCCTTGTACCAAACTAAATCCTACTTGGAAGTCTAATAGAAAATTGACAGCGTGCCACCGGGCTGTGTGTGCTTCCTAATTACGGAAGAAGATGAAGCTCCAATGCAAGTTTAAAACTGTCAAAGCAGTTTAGATGTCTAAGCCACAAGTGATAATATATTAAATGTTTGGTAAGTCTGAACATACAACATTTACTTATCCTAAAGGCACCTTGATGATGACCCCAAGGTGGTTTTAGTGAATGCAAAACACAAAATGCAAAGTTGTAATCTTCTAGTCTTAGCATTAAGTCTTGCTTGCTCAGGCTTGTGAAAAATTTAGATTTGCATGGACAAGTGATTTGAGGAGCTCACCTGGAAATCTCAGGGTACTCTACCATCAAACGGTTTGATTCATTCATTGATTCATCCAACGAATATTTCTTGAGAAGCTACTGTGTGCTAGGCACTCTGCTGCTGATGCTGGAACAAGTAGGAAGAAATATGTGTTTCGATCTAAATCACTAATATAACAATTATTTGCATTTCTCATAATGAGCGTAAAAGACAAATGAAAAGACACAAGCTTCTAGTAAGTGCCAAATCTATAGTACGCTATTAAGATATTGCCGCAGGGTATGTGTAATTGTTCAACAGGCCCTGAGTCTTGCCTGGGCAGAGCAAGGGTGACCCAGCATATATGTTCAATTGTGTACGTGACTGTCTAGCTTAGAAGAGGTATAACCATCCTCATTAATGACATATTTCACAATATTCAAATATATGCATAGAGATTCAAAGGGCAGGAGGCCACCCATTCATTCATTCCACATTTATCAAGTTCTGACTATGTGACAGCCGCTGTGATGATTTCTGGAGATGCCGTGGTGAACAAAACGTTTTTGCCTTCCTGAGGTTATATCCATCAACGAGTGAATTAAGAAGATAAGTACAGAGTGGCTGTGTGAAGAAGGAAATGAGCAGAGTGATGTGACCAAGCTACCTTAGAGAAGATGGTCAGAGACACCCCCAGGAAGTGACGTTTGAGCTGAGATCTGAAATAGGAAAAGCAGCAATCATGGGAGGAGCTGGGGCCAGGGCTATAAGCAGCAAGTGCAAGGCTCTGAGGCCAGATTGCGCTCTTGGTGTTGAAAGACAGGAAAGGAGCTTAGACTAGAATGGAGTGATCCAAAGGGATGGTGGCTCCAGACGAAATCGGACAGATGGGCTGAGGCCAACTCATGTAGGACCTTACAAGCTAGTGTAAGGCAATGAGACTTTATTCTAAATGCAACCAAGAAGCTCTTAGGGAGTTTAAAGCAGGAAAGGGATATCATCTCATTTACGTGTTTAAAGGATTACTCAGGCTGCTGTGTGGTGGACAGATTATGCTGGGGCAAGAGTGGAAAAAGTAAGGAGAGCAGCCAGGAAGCCATGGTGATCATCCAGGCCGGCAGAGTGGCAGCTTAGTCCAGGATGGCAGCACTGGGGTTGGAGAGACTCCAGTGTCTCAGTGGACAGGGCTCCCCCCTGCCCAGACCTCCCCGTTGGAACTCCAGCCTCATAAAGCCCCTGTCTACCTGATCTCTCCACCTGGATGTTGAATACCCATCTCAGATTTTGCCCCAGCTTGGTCTCTTGATCTGCCACCTGCAAACCTGCTGTTCCCCAACTCCGTTCTGTCCCAAGTCATCCTCAACTCCTCTCTTGTCTCCCTGCCTACATCCAATCATGAATAGTTCTTGTTGGCTCCATCTTCAAAATATATTTGGAATTTAAGTACTTTCCACCATCCCCACTGCTGGTATCCAAATCTAAACCACCATCACCACTTACTTGGATCATTACAATAGTCTCCTAATTGTCTCCCTGCTTCTCCCTTTGTTCTCCATAACCCGTATGCTCTTGTTAAAATGTAAGTCAAACAGTAACATTCTTCTCTTCTACTCAAGCTCTCCAGTGGCTTTCCATCTCAGAATTCAAATCCTTTGTCCCTCTCTGACCCCATCTCCTACAACTCTCCCACTTGCTCATTCTGCAGCAGACATACCAGCCTCCTTGCTGTACTTTAATTATGACACAGTCCGTCCTCAGGACCTTTGCACATGCTCTTCCTTCTATCTGATTCCAGATAGCTGCTTCTGCCCTCCCTTCATTCTGGTCTCACTCAAATGTAATCATCTCAGAGAGGCCTTCCCAGACCACTCCATATAATGAAATAATCCCTATCACTTTTCCCCTTTGCTTTATTTTTCTTCATAGAACTTAAAACTTCCTGACATCACATATTTTTGGCTTATTTGTTTATTATCTGTCTCCCTACCCTACAATGTAAACACCACAAGAGCAGAGTCTCAGTTTTATTCATTGCTGTATCCCCCAACACCTAGGCCAATACCTGGCACATAATGGATGCTCCATACTATGTGTTGAATGAATACATGAATGTGGTGTTATAGAGTGAAGGGAGGTGACCACATCAGGAAGGAGACCTTCAGCCCTACTAGTGGCAGAGAAGTGAAGAAGGTAGGGCTCCAAAAGAGTCTGCTAGGTTTGGTGGGAAGAAAGAGCTTCCCAGGGTCCAGGGAGCCAGTTAGGACAGCTTCCTGAAGTTAGTGGGAAAGGCACAAGGATAACTCTTGCTTATATCTGTAGGCGCTGGGGGGGAGAGACCTCTGTAGGGGTATCTGGTCCAAGGGAGACCTCTAGCCAGAATGCTGATAGGAAGATGTGGACTAGAGATTCAAGAAGAGGCTGAGAGGCATTCTGGGGGTGGGGGTAACCCAGGGCTTGTGAAGGAGCCAGAGGTCCCATGAGGTGGTTGCCTCCTCCTTCTAGTCCCAGTCTTTCCAGTGGGCTTGCTGGGAAGAAATGCAGCTAAGACTTCAGCAGAAGCTAAGCCCTGACATTACATGGGCCCCTGTCAGGACTCAGTGCCCCAGCCAACAGCTGGGAAGACAGCAGGGAGCACAGAGTCCAGTCCGTGCCAACGACAGAAGCAAGCCCTCTTGATGATATCGTCTTGCATCTCGGACTGAGGGCCTCCATATCTTTGGTCTCTTTAGATTCTCACCACCACCACAATCACTCCAAGAAATCGCTCTTATTATCCCCAAATTTACAAAGTGGGGAAACTGAGGCGTGGAAGGCGATATGACTTCAGCAAAATCACCCAGGAAGCTGTGGGGTCTGGACTCGAACTTAGATCATTGGTCTGCACACTTTACTCTCAAAGATCCCACTCTGAAGTGGGGTTCTCAGGCTGAGTCTGGGCTTTGGAGGCCTTTGCGCAATGAACTTCACTGGTGCAGCGCTGTGCGCAAGGAGGGAAAAACAGAGCAGTTTTCTTTCCAGCCGAAGACACATCTCCACCCGGACCCACACAGGACACTCCGCTGCGGAAACACACAGGCCGAGTTAGGCAGGAGTTCACCTCCCTCCCTCCAGGCCGGGGCGGGACCTGGGCTTGGAGAGACTGGCGAGAAGCTTTAGCAGCCATCCTCCTCTTCTGCAGAGATGCGGGGGCGTTTCCAAGCGTCCGGAGAAGGTGGGCTGGGCCGAGTGACCCGGCCGCCACGTCCAGTTTGTCTCAGGTTCTTCCACTTAGATTCTAATTCTCACTGCAGGTTTCTTTGCCTCTGATTCGTGCTTTCTGCTGTCTCTGTCTCTTGGCTGTCTCTCTCACTGTCTCACTATCTCAGCTCTGAGTGTGTCTCTGCCCTATTGCCATGGGTCTCCCTCTCTCTAAATCTCTCGCGATCTGTTTTCTACTCCTACCCTGCACCTAGGTCCCCCATAAATCAGAGGACAGAGGGAGACCCAAAGTCAGCTTGGAGTTGAGCGCGGGCGGCCAACATTTCCCGAGGACATAGGACGAGTACGGTGCTGGAGAGGTTTGGAGCGAGTGTGCCCCGGAGCCAAGTGCAGCCGCGTTGGGCTGCCGGCCTCTGCCTTCCTCCCAGCCTAGGGAGGGGTCGGAGCGCGCGCGCGCGCGCGCGGGGCTCGAGGGGTAGGGGGCTGGCCAGTCTCTTGCCCCAGCGGCCACCCTGGGGATCCCAAGCTCCTCCCCACCTTGTTTCTATTGGCCTCGGGCGCCCCCGCCCCCAGCCGCCCGCTCGGGCTCGGGGGCCCTTAAGCTACTACCGGATAAATAGCCCCGGGCGCCTCGCGTGACGATAGGGGTGGGGAAGCCCCGGGGCGCTGCCGCCGCTTTCCCATCAGGCCGGACAGGACCGGGCGGGGAGGAGGGAAGTGGGGTGTACATTCAGACCCCCGGTACTTTACTACCGCACGGCCAAGACTGCAGAGAGGCAGAAAGTTTCGGGGCAACCCCTACCGAAGCTAGGACTGCGCCACCCCCTGCGGGGATATGGAGCTGCTGTCGCCGCCACTCCGAGACGTAGACTTGACTGGCCCCGACGGCTCCCTCTGCAACTTTGCCTCCGCGGATGATTTCTATGATGATCCGTGTTTCGACTCCTCCGACCTGCGATTCTTCGAGGATCTGGACCCGCGCCTCGTGCACGTGGGCGCGCTCCTGAAGCCCGAGGAACACTCGCATTTCCCTGCGGCCGTGCACCCGGCGCCAGGCGCGCGCGAGGACGAGCATGTGCGCGCTCCCAGCGGGCACCACCAGGCTGGCCGCTGTCTGCTGTGGGCCTGCAAAGCGTGCAAGCGCAAGACCACTAACGCCGACCGCCGCAAGGCCGCCACCATGCGCGAGCGGCGCCGCCTGAGCAAAGTCAACGAGGCTTTCGAGACGCTCAAGCGCTGCACGTCCAGCAACCCGAACCAGCGACTGCCCAAGGTGGAGATCCTGCGCAATGCGATTCGCTACATCGAAGGGCTGCAGGCGCTGCTGCGCGACCAGGACGCCGCGCCCCCTGGTGCCGCTGCTGCCTTCTACGCGCCTGGCCCGCTGCCCCCAGGCCGTGGCGGCGAACACTACAGCGGCGACTCAGACGCGTCCAGCCCGCGCTCCAACTGCTCCGACGGCATGGTAAGGCCAGGACCCCCAGCTAGAGAAGTGAGGGCAGCTCTTGGTATATCTGACACGTGTTTCCGAGCGCGGGGAGCAGGCCCCCCAGAGGGAGGTTTGGGCTGGGAACCTTGCCGCGAGTGGACCCCGGTGTCCTGAGCAGCTGTCACTGGGGTGGCCTGGTGCCTTGGGGGCGCACGGGACAAATGCGAGCCACCCTATTGGGGGCGCTGTTAGAGCTCTGCTGCAGCGACATGAAGATCTGCTTTTCTCCACTTATTCCTCTTTACAAAATGCAGATTTATGCACCTAGTCGACTGTCCACCCTCTAGTTGGCCCAGGAGGAGGCTGCGGTCAGCTCCTGTCCGCCCCGATCCCCCAACCAGGGACCAGCACTCGTGGCTGAGACTGGGGAGTTGGGGCGGGGTGGCTACCGGGAGTGATGCTCTGGCCCCACGCGGTCCCCGAGCCTGACTCGGGCGCCCTTGCCGTTTGCAGATGGACTACAGCGGCCCCCCGAGCGGTGCCCGGCGGCGGAACTGCTACGATGGCACCTACTACAGCGAGGCGCCGAGCGGTGCGTATTTGCGCCTCCTTCCCACGTTACCCCCTTTGAGCTGTCCTGGCCTCCCTCTATCTAGGATCCCCCCGCCCCGCCCCCAATCCTGGGAGACAGTACAGAGAATGAATTACTAAGCGTGCAGCTTCCTCCCTTTTCGCTCCGGACTCTCTCTGGGTCCTCTCGGACTCGGGCAGGCCTTCAGTTTTATGTCTGCCCCAAAGCAGTGAGCCCGTAGGTGGGAGACTTGTTCGCTGCTCAACTGCATACTAACCTACCCCTCCCCGCGCAGAACCGAGGCCCGGGAAGAGTGCTGCGGTATCGAGCCTCGACTGCCTGTCCAGCATCGTGGAGCGCATCTCCACCGCGAGCCCCGCCGCGCCCGCGCTTCTGCTGGCGGATGCGCCGCGGGAGTCGTCTCCCGGCCCACAAGAAGAGGCCGCGCAGAGCGAGGTCGAGCGCGGCGCCCCCACCCCTTCCCCGGACGCCGCCCCGCAGTGCTCAGCTGGCGCAAACCCCAACCCGATCTACCAGGTGCTCTGAGGGGGTGGGCGGCCCCATGGGAGGGCTCCGCTGCCTGCGCGCCCGAGGGATGGTGCCCCTAGAGTCCCTCGCGCCCAAAAGATCGAGCTTAAATGCCAACCCCCACTCCCAACCGCGCTTTAAAAGCGACCCCTCCCGAGTTGGGAGAGGCGGGAGAACTGATGTGTGTTTCCACTCCCGCGCTCCACAGTAAGGACACAGTCCTTCTTTTCCACGCAACACCCTTCCCTGAGACTCGCTGCGATGGTCTTTAGGTGTTCCTCCTTGAGGGGCCAGACCCTCCCTCTTCCTTACCCCCATTCCCTAGGCGGGGTGGGACCCGCGCGGATCTAAGCCCCGCCTCCGGACGCCAGTGCAGCTGAAGGGGGCGTGGCCTCCCTCCCAGAGCCCCGGGCGACTTTGCTCCTCCCCAGGGCCCGCGGGGCGCGCTCGCGTTCCCCGTGTAACAAGTGTAACAGTAACCACTCCACCCCCTCCCCCAGTTCAGGACCACTTTTTGTAATACTTTTGTAATCTATTCCTGTAAATAAGAGTTGCTTTGCCAGAGCAGGTGCCCCTAGGGCTGTATTTATCTCTGAGGCATGGTGTGCGGTGCGACAGGGACTTTGTACGTTTATACGGCAGGTGGGCGAGCCGCAGGCGCTCGCTCAGGTGTTCGAAATAAAGACGCTAATTTATACCGCGGTGGCTCCGACTTTCCCTGGGGATGGGGCTAGGAAGGGAGGAAACCCCGAAAACTTGGGCCAGCTGAACCGCAGCGACCCCTGTAGGCGGAAGACGGATTGCAAGAAAGGAGCCTGGGGCGGGGCTAGGAAGGGAGGGGTGCGTTTGGCTCCTTATCCGTGGGGGAAGTTCCTCTGACCCATCGTTACACGCAGCAGGTCAGTGGTTCTTGTGTCAGGATGCATTTTAGAATGATTTGAGTAGTGAAAAAAAAAAAATCCATGCCTGCCCCACTCTCCAGAGATTCTGATTTAATATATCTGCCCCTGATATCCGGGGCCAGGTTTTGGTATTTTTCAAAAGCTCCCCTAAGAGATTCTAAAGTGCGTGCAAGTTTGAGAATCATGCCCCTTGATACACACTGAGTGAACCCAGGCAGATGGACTACAGGCGTGGTGTCCAGAAGGAACACTGGGAATTCTAGCTCTATAGAGGTGCCACTCGGAAGCCTCATGGGTAGAGAGAATGTGATAAGGCGCTCATAGCATTATAAGGAAAAACTAAATGAGTTTGAAGGGGCGATGTAAGCTGTATGATACTTACAGGCTCTCAGTGATAGGAATAATCTTAAGGGGACCGCACAGAAGGCCAGACAGGCACAGACGTCTCTACTCAGCCTGGCACCCAGCACTTAGAGCATCCTGGCCCTGTCAGGGCAGTGCAAACCTGCATCATCTCAGGTTTGGTTATAAATGCTCTGAGAGCAGAGGAGGAGACATTGATTTAGCCAGGGTGCTGGAGAGGGCTTCCTGGAAGAGGTGCCATTTGAACTGTGTCTTGAGAAACAAGAAAAGACAACACACAATGCCCACAGACCCATGCACATGTGCACGCACACACATAGCTGGGAGGGCACCCCTGGAAGAACGGTCTGGTAAAAGTTCTTCCCCATTCCCATGCCACCCCAAGCCCGCCCCCCAAAATACATACATTTGTCATCAGGACCTCAATGTCTTCTACATCTCACCCTTACAGACACTTTTTTCCTGAAAACCTTACAGGCCCACTTTCAAAGGCTCTGCTTGCCAAGTGGGATGACCCTGAGGACTGCAGGCAAGATGTGTGGCCAGCAAGAAGGACCTCGGCTTTCTGCTCTGGGGAGAGCCTCTGCTGTCCCCAACACGGGGTCCCTGAAGAGCTGCCTAGAGCTACTTTGTTACTAATAATCCTCAACTTTTCCTCTGGCTGCTTCCCCGGATGCACCTTGGGGTTCTTTACACTCCTTTGAGACCCTTTGGGGGCTCATTTATGAATTCATTCATTCAGTAGTTGCCAGGTCCTATGCTGGGTGAGAACAGAGACCAGTGGACAGTTCCTGACTGTGGAAAACACCAAGACATTTGGGAAGATTGGATCTCTTAGCAGCTGGTTACATCACAATGAATTAAGTGTTATAATGGGGGTGTATGTGGTAGAGGAACACACTAGGAACAGAAGGTAGAGACAGGCAGATAAGCTCTAGTAAGGATCTTGAAGGAGTTGGTCATGGAAGGGGAGCCAAAGAAGGATATTCCAAGCTGAGGAAACAGCAAGTGCAAAGACTCCAAAGTGACAGAAAGTAAAGTGTGCCTTCATGGAACCAAAAATGCTCACAGGGAGAGGCCAAAGGTGAGATGGGGAAAAGACAGAGGCAGATCCTCAATGGACCTCATTTGGACTTTCTCCTGAGGGCAATAGGGAGCCATAGAGGAATCTAACCAGCAGAAGGGTACAAATAAATCTGTATTTAGAAAAGCCAGTCTGGGCTGGCAAAATGGAGAGGAGGGAACAAGACTTGAGACAGGAAGATTTGTCAGGAGGCCATGAGGGCTGCTCAGAGGAGACATGACATGGCCTGAACCGGGGCTGTGACTGGGTTGTGAGAGAAAGCATGGGAATAGAGACAGTTGTGCCAAATAAAATGTAGGCGTTGACAGTACAGTGGAGAACTTCGAGGGCACAGTCCTTACCTTCACACAGCTTAAAATCCACTGGGGAGGGGCGCCTGGGTGGCTCGGTCGTTGAGCGTCTGCCTTCGGCTCGGGTCATGGTCCCAGGGTCCTGGGAGCGAGCCCCGCATCGGGCTCCCTGCTCGGCGGGAAGCCTGCTTCTCCCTCTCCCACTCCCCCTGCTTGTGTTCCCTCTCTCGCTGTGTCTCTGTCAAATAAATAAATAGAATCTTTAAAAAAAAATCCACTGGGGAAATAGCCATTAGACAAAGAAATAAGTGAATAAATGGTGAGAAATACTATAAGGGAAGGTAAAGGGTGCAATGAGGTATGATAATGGGATATAAGAAGGTGCAGAAAGGAGCATGCAGGGTTTCTGCACTGAGGAAACCCATTACACATATGAAGAAGGCCCAGGAGCTAGCGTGCAATTGGAAAAAAATGTCCCTTCTTTCCTGAGGACACTGCTCTGCCCCAGGGTTCATAGCTAGGCAATCAGAGAGCAGGCTGGACTTCAGCCCCCACTGACCTTCTTATGCAGGTGCATTTGTTCAGTGAACAACAAGCATAACTGTTCACAGAGACTTGTGTATGGAGGCCCTAATGATGTGAGGGGAAAGGGGGAGCCAAGGCTGACTTAGGCTCTGGTTTGGTTCAGAGTGGATGGTAATGCCATTACAGAGATGGAGACATCAGGAGAAGAAGCAGGTATGGGGAGAGATTTAGTCCAGGACACTTCCAGTTACAAGTGACAGAAACCCAGTTCAGACTAGCTTCACCCCCAAGGGGTGTGTTGGAAGGACAAGGGACAATTCATATACGGAAGCAGCACTACAGGCACTGTAACACCCATGAGCTTTGACAGCTGGGACTGGAGACTGCAGCCCCTCTTACTCTTCCACCGTTCCCTGGCTTGCCTCTACTGAGTTTACTCTCTCCGAGTCCATATTGATTTTCTCCAGCAACTCAGGGATTACCTTGGATCTCACCATTAAACTCCAGTTTGAAAATTTCCACAGAAGAACCCTCATTGGACTAGCTTAGGTCATGAGCCAGGATTTGAACCCAGGCAGACAGGCTCCAGGGATTGCACTCCAGGATCCCAGGACCCTGGAATCATGACCCGAGCCGAAGGCAGACGCTCAACGACCGAGCCACCCAGGTGCCCCTCCCCAGTGGATTTTAAGCTGTGTGAAGGTAAGGACTGTGCCCTCGAAGTTCTCCACTGTACTGTCAACACCTACATTTTATTTGGCACAACTGTTTCTATTCCTATGCTTGCCTTATACCTCTGCATGGGAAGGAAGGAGAGGGGACTGAGGCGAAGTCAGGAGGGAGGGTGACAGCTGGATGTCGGATCATTCCATGGATGATGGGGTTTGAGGTCCCCTCCTGGCCCATGTCTCACCTCAGTCCCCTGGATTTGGGGGTGGGAGGAGCGTCTAGTTGAGGCCAACTCCATTTGCAACGTAGATGAAATGGCCCTTGTTCTTGGGGCCATTTTCACCTGGGCTGGATCTGAGGAAACATTGGGTCCATGTCTACACACAGGTGCTCATACAACAGCACACATGAACCCAGAGCATACCACCAGGGGCTGATGCACCTTGAAGGCAATGAAGTTTAAGCTTAGGTCCCTTGCATGAGCCCTGTCTAAGGCACTGGTCCAGTTTCCTTCTTAATTTGCCAAGGTAAATTATTTTAGCCAATTAGTTATGACCATTATCCCTTTCTACTCTGACTTCTCCCTTCTGGCAGGTGGCATTTATGGGCATGTTGGGGTCTAATCTAAAGGTATACATTTTGTTTGGGTTTGGTGGAATATGTTTTAAATAAATAGAATAGAAAACAGAAGCAATAATAATGAACAATGAAATAAATTAAAATCATCTGACATTGAAAAGACAGTTATACCCAGAATATCTTTAGATCATACCAAAAAGCAGTTTATTAAAAGAAAGAGGTAACTTTTGAATGGAATTATTAAAAAGACTCTTGCATTCGATAATCCATTCAAAGAAGAGTAAATTATAAGAACACATTGGAAAGAGACTTTAAGTCTTTTGCTGATCTAACACAAAACACTGACACCAACAGAGTAAAATTCATAATATGCCACTATCACAAGACCTCAACATCAACCAACCTTTTAATGAACACTGTCAATTTGAAAAAATTAAAAATAATCACCACGGAAGAAAACTCAAAATACCTTGAACTCTTACAGTCCACAAATGAAAGAAACTTGGAGTTTTCCCCAAATTTCACACCAATCCTAAAATTGTGCATGACATTTCCAATACAGTGTTGAGCCTGAAAAAAAGCTTCCCTCAATTATGAATGATACGAAACAAGTCTTGATCACCATGTTGAAGGAAAGACTAAACTCTCTGAATCATCTCTCAATTCTCCGTATAGAAAATGATATTATAAAACCACTGTCACGTGAAGAATCAATTAAAGAATATGCAGCCTGATATG